GACATCGTTAAGTATACAACGAACATGATAATATCATTGAATTTATAACGTAATAAATCTATAATGTAGTGTTACAATAGCTACTTACTGAACACTATAAATCCTAAGTCTGTGTCATGGAGTGTATTGACCGGGATTTAATCACCTAAACTACTATATAAACCAAGCATGTTTTTAATATTTTTTTTTTTTTTGCTTCCTTGAAATTCATGTACAGTGTAGGCCTATGTACTATCTCGATATACTGATATTTTTTAACACTGATGGTGAATGGCAGTTCACAATTTGTAATTAACTGTTTTAATACATTTACTGCCTACCAGTCTAGTGTCCATGTATCTATATAGGCCTATTTCATGGAGCATAATCCTACGAGAATTTACTCATTAATTGCTACGTTTACAAATTAAATTCCGCAAAACCGTCATTTAGTCAACATTGCTGTTTTTCCGTATTTTGCATCATAATCACAACTTTAACTTATTAAAAAAATCTTCAGAACCGTAAGTAAAACATTACATTAAAATTTAAAAAAAACCAGTTAAATTAAAATACCAAGCTAACAGCAACATCAACAAAATAAAAATCGTGAGTGTCACTTATTATTATGATTAGTAGTATTAAAATGGTCACTTAAAAATTGCAAAATATTATCCTTTTCTTTAGCTTCTAGATAAAGATACATTTTTTACCTCAAGTTTCTATTTCCAAATAAATAGGTTCTATCCGTAATTCTTAATCTTCATTTCAGCCATTTTCATTACTAGTGTTTTGCCATTTATTACGCAATTGAAGTTCACATCAACTCTACCATTGGGCAAACAAATGAAACATGCTCTGTACCACCAACCACTTCTGTAATAATTTGCACATGACCTGCCATTATGCTGATCATTATCTCTATCCTTAGTAGAAAATCGCATATTGACAGCAGTATTGAACACACCACCTGTTGTACAAATGTTTTAATAAAAATAGGTTAAAACAAAAGGGCAAGCCTCAGATAAGATAAAACATGTAACAGTACTACTTTTAAAATCAATCAAGAGGTTTTTCCTTTTCTCTTTTTGAATTTCACCTTTGTACAAGTAGTATTGCGACTATACTATTGTGAGTGGAAATACTACCGTCTAATTTACGATCAAACTAGGAAGAGGAATTCACACAAAACATTGTCAGCATTTTTATTTCACAAATATAAAAGTAATTAATTGACCATGACGTCATGGCGAGACTGTGTCAACGTAACATCGGAGTTCAATTTTCTACCTATATTTTTTTTTAATTAGGAAAAACATGAATCCATGTATTATGCAGATAATATTAAACATGGGTCTTAATATACAGAAGGAATAAATCATTTATAGTAAAAATTGTGTATTTTTGGAGTTTGTAAAAATGTTGGCCTAAAGGTTTACACGCTTCTAATTTTAACAACGTATAGTTCATTGTTTTCACAATAAATTTAGAATTTGATAACCGTTGCACCCATAAAATCGATGGAGTGGTTACTGAGATGGTTACGAAACGTACAAATAATTGTGTTTTTACTCGGTTTTGGTCCTAAAAAACGAAAAATATTGATATGATTTCCTACCTCCCCCCCCCCCCCAATTGACTGTCACCATCGATCGACGCCCATGTCTGCGGCGCTTAAATGAGAGTGTATACACATTACCCTGTGTATAATGAGACACTTTGAGAAACAGGGTTTTAAATACAATGTATACAGAGTTCAAATGAATAAATAACACAATGAAGTATATTTACGCTGATGTACGGCCTGATGGGCGTACTGAACTACCACTACTAAGTACTTTTTTTTAAATAAGCGCCGTTCCCGAAAAAGCACCGCTCTCGAATAAACGCCGCAATAATGAGGCCTCCAAAATAAATTCGAGGATTGACGGTACACACATGGGCGTCGATTGGTGGGGACAGGGGGACACGTCCCCCCACTTTTCACATCATATCAATTGTCCCCCCCCCCCACTTTTCACCAATCTTCTATAGTTAAAACTTCGCTTCCAAAGCAAGTGAAAAGAACAACAACGGTTACGAATGACTGTCAAATCATTTCCGTTACTAACGATAGTGTACTGGCGAATTTACTGTACTTTCTAACCAACCACTGCCCTTATCAGTAAGTAAGTAAGTAACTTTATTGCTTCTCTTTTATAACAGAGGCACAGCCGTAAAGACGTGCAACAATAACAAAATCAGTAAAAACTTAATTACTGTGATAAAATATAGTAAGAAAATACTGCGGTAGAACGAAATATAAATTAAAAATATGGTTTACAAAAATAGTAATAGAGATAAAAATAAATACTAATACTGCATCCAAGATCAGCTTGAGAGGTAGGGTTTACCAAACCGATCTAGTACAGAAATGAGGACTGCTTTAGTGAACTACTTACGACATTTGGTAAGTGCTGTTCCATCTGATGTTGTTTAACGATATTATTTTGTATATTGTGATCAATTTTATTTGCAATCTCTTTATTTTTCCTGGATGAAGACGACCCACTGTTTGCCCTTATAGATGAAGACTATCTAAGTAATATGGGTAAAAACGGTACTTATGTTGACGAAATAGCAGTGAGAGGGATGTCACGAATATTAAATCATGATTTCCACATCGTGACCAGTCAAAGAATTAGCACAGAGGAGGGTTACTTGGTCACGAAAATTAACGAAAGTTTGAATCCAGACGATCAAATGTTATTCGGACAAATAGGAGAGATACACTATATTAGCCTAGGCAAGAGCTAGTAGCACATACATGCACACGTACCATATCCATACAAGCAGTGGCAGTGCATATTTATTATTCTTTAGTCTTGTGTAGTGTACCGTTGTTTTTGTGGAAAAGTATAAACATTATTGCTTTTTTTAAATAATGCACCACAAGATAAGTGTTTGAAATGATCTTTCAAATGTAATTATGAACAATGGCGAGTAGGTCGTCAATTATATATAGAATAATAATTACTGTACATATATAAAACAAATTCTATTTTTAACAGGTGAACCAACCGATGCCAATAACCATACCTCAGAGCCACCTGAACATGTTGCAGATAGCCAGAAAGATGTGTCTTATTCAAGCGATTCCCCTATGGAGTATACGTCAAGGCCTAATATCAAGAATGATTTTCTAGCTGATCGAGTCCATCCAAAAGACGGCAACCTGTGCAAATACTATCAAACAGAAAGTTGACTTTCCAACAAAATTGGTTTAGAGCAGTACCCATGGCTACATTTTGATCATAACCTCAAAGCTGTTTTGTGCCACACTTGTGTTAGTGCAGTGAAACTAAATCCTAACCGAATGGCACGATGTTCAGAGGACACCTTCGTTGTCAGAGGTTTCAATAATTGGAAAAAAGCAATAGAAAAGTTTAAAAAACATGAAAGATCTCATGCACACAAGATCGCCTCAAAGGAAAGGATGCTCCATAGACAAAAATGCAACGTGTCTACACAGCTGCAAAACAAGAAGAAAGAAGACCAGCAGTTAGCATATTCAGCACTTCTCAAGATAATGTCCTCTTTGAAGTACTTGGCGCAACAAGGTCTTGCCATTAGGAGAAAGGGCACTTCAGAGGGTAATTTGAGGACTCAAATTATTTAAAGTCATGGCTGTCCAGAGTAACAACATATACAAGTGGTGAAATCCAAAATGGGATTCTAAGACTGATGTGTCATTCTGTACTAAGGAAAATTTGTAGTGAAGTATCATCTTCAGAGTTCGCTCTAATAGTAGATGGTACACAGGATATAACTGATAAAGAACAGGAATGTATTTGCGTACGCCATGTAAACAAGGATTTTGATGTAAAGGAAGAATTCATTGGATTGTACAATGTCGATGAAACAACAGGAGAGGCACTGTGCAAAATGCTGAAAAGCATACTGCTGGCACTCCAATTGCCTATTGAAAATTTAAGAGCCCAGACGTATGGCGGCGCAAGCAATATGTCCGGCAAGTACAAAGGCTGTCAAGCTGAAATAAAAAAAAAAGGTACAACCACTTGCTAGTTATGTGCATTGTGGCGCTCATGTCACACATCTTGTTGCCTCCAAAGCTATTCAAGTTTCACCATTAATGCGAGATGCATTGGCCACTGTGCAAGAACTGGGAGTATTTTTAGGAGTTCGGGAAAGTTTAAAGCCATGTATAAGAACATGAATGCAGGTGAAACTGACACACCTTCTCCCTCACGCATAAAACCAATTTGCCCAACACGTTTCTAACGTGGAGAACAATTACAGAAATGTGTTGGATGCACTCCAGCAAGCTGCTGATCAGTTTGCAGTCAAAACTGCTGCCAAGGCCAGTGGTTTTCTAGCAAGCCTATCGTCACCAAAGTATGTTCTCGGGATATTTGCCTCATTGGGTATTGTGGAATACCTCGAGCAACTGAATAAGGGTTTACAAGGAAGAAAAACAACTGTTGACAGCATGCTACAAGCTGCAAAAATGACAGAGAAAACACTCCAAGCACTACGCTCCGATGATAAGTTCAGTGAGATTTTCACTGCAGCTGAAAATGCACTTGAAAAATGGGGCTTAGAGAAAGTTTCTCTTCCAAGACAAAGAACATTCCAAGAAGATTTAGAGACGGAGAAAACTCGTATTGCCCTACATCTGCTCAAGAATTCTACAGAAAAGAATATTTTCAAAGTATTGATAGCGCAATCTTAAATTTGAGAGAATACCTCATTTCGACGGATATTGAAGAATACATAGCTTTGAGTAATATATTGTTAACTGGTGGGTTCAATGCCGAGATCATATCAAAATACCCAGAACTGGATGCTTCGATGGATAATGAGCTGTCATTCTTCCACCATGATTTCAAAGGTGCGTCTATCGAAGACATTCGCAAAATCTTTGAGGTAATGAAACCAGAAATCAGGAGAATGTTTCCAAAGGTGGAACAACTTTTGAAGTTGTTGTTAACATACCCAGCCAGTTCGTGCAAAGCCGAACCTCATTTAGTGCGTTGAGAAGAGCCAAGACCTGGCTACGAAGCACAATGGAGCAAGAAATGCTTAATTATCTCATGGTCTGTCATGTACGTCGTGACTTGCTAGATGCTATTGATCTTGAAGAAATAGCTAAAGAATTTATCAATAGATGCCCAGAAAAACTCGTTAAAGTTTTTGGAAAGGTATAAACACATTAGGCCTACATTTCAGTTCAAAATGATTTCTACTATAAACGATTCATTTCTTTTTATGTACAGTACAGTGTTTAATATTATTCCCTATACCGTAAAACCTCGAATTGAAGCCCAGTGGGCTTAATCTTGAGAGGAAGCCCATCTCGAATTGAAGCCCCCTCTTTAGTTTGCACAATTAGCCTCGAAAGGAAGCCCATGGGCTTCTTTTCAAGAGAGCATAGGCTACTTTTCGAGATAACACTGCATGAATTTCAGAAAACAAAATAAATTAAGAACAAGCTTGGTTTAAAACAGTAGTTTAGGTTATTGAATGCCAGTTACATACACTCCATGATACAGATTGATGTTACCTTAGCCTTATTTATTGTTTAATTGTACAAATTCACAACATTTAGAGCATTCATTTTGAAAAGAATTATCCCCCCCCCCCACTTTACTTTGAAAAGTAGGTTCGAAAGGAAGCCCATCATGAAATAAAGCCCATCCAAAGTTTGCAAAAAGAAAGAAGCATAGTACTTCAACTCAAGATTTTACGGGAATAATTCTTTATTTTTTTATTCGTCTTCACTGTAGGCCTAATTAGAAATGTGACATTTGGACTGGGTTCCTGGTAAGCAGCGGCAGCCGCAGTGCAGTGCAGTCTCACCCGACCACAACCACAGCATAACGGATACATACCGTACATTAGCCAAACCCAAATGTACAGTATTTAAACAATATACAGTGGTTAGTAGGCATATTATGAATTTCAACTTGTTTAAGTAGTGGTTCCTTAAATTTAACTCCAGTGTTAGGTTTACTCAATCTCACCGATGACGTCGCGAGCTAAATTAAGTTTTGCCTGTACCTTGTGTTAACAATAACCTTCATGTTTATGAAATAATAGTGCTCTTGTACTTAACCTAATAGTTTATGTATGCTTCCTATCTAATCCTGTACATGATCGTAAACTTCACGGTAGATGTATTCCACCCTCCACCCATAGTGTAGTCGTAATTCGAACAAAATACACGGCAGTCGTTGATCTGAACATTAACCATAGCTTAGTGTATGCTGCTTTAAACTGTAAAGATGTCAGTTACTTTCCTACGCCAGAGAACACCGGAATTTCAACGCAGACGTATACGTATTAAATTGTAAATGTTTTATTTTGATATCCGAAAGTTTTAGTGCATACAAACCTTGATGAGGAAAGAAAAGAAATTCAAGGCAATATACTAGATTTGAGTGACTGTTTTAAGTTCTTTTATTTGTTTTTCATGGTTCGAAAAATTATTATCTGTATATAGGCCTATGTAGTTTACAACATAAATGGGCATAAAATGAAACGGGCTTAAAATCAATTAAATTTGACTTATAAAAGGCTAGAATACCGAAGCTTCCGGAAAGCATCGACCCTCGGTCCCCCACCGGGACTATTCCCCTGGATCCCACCATTGGCCCTGGGCCCCCCGGCACCAGCCATGCATGGCTCGGGCCTTCAGCCAAAGTGTTTGTCCCCCCCCCCACTTTTTGAAACGGATTGACGCCCTTGGGTACACAGATATTTTCTTTTTCTTTCCTACTTTTTTCGATTTAGACAATGGTCTACTAACTCATTCTAAAACAGTGACCAGCCGAATTAAAATATTTTGTCATTCTCATAATATACGAATCCAAACGGTTCTTCTCAAAATCAAATAGGTCTATAACAATTGAGATAAATTGTAGCACGTGGTGTACCGAAAGCATAGGCATGATCAATTATTATTGTCACTTCGCCATGCAAGCCTTCAAGACTTTTCGTTTCTACTTGTCTGTAGGATGGGCCATATGTTTCTGAACATCTATTCACTTTCTACATAAAGTGAAATTTGACTTACCAGCATTACCGTCAATGATTGCCCCAATGTTCAGTTTGAAGTCTTGACTTTCGTCTAAGATTTTAAACGAGTTGTGTGTAACGTGATACGTATTTCCGTCAATGCCTTCCAAATCCAAACGTAGTTTGAACTCTCCAGATGCTGTCTCTTATACACATCTAGATGTGTATAAGAGACAGTTTCAAAGGTGCGTCTATCGAAGTGTCACGACGTCTTTGAATTACCTGAAATCCATAAAGACAGGCCCGTAAACAGGATTTTTATTGAGTGGGTGCGAATTTGTAGAGAGTACCAAAATGGTTGGGTAGGGGGGAGGGTCGTGGGGGCAGAGTTCAGATATTTTTTTTTTAATTTGAGGTCTCAGTTTATCGATTCTGGAAGGGACTTTCACATATAGAGGATCTATAATACCTCAACCCCACCATGGTTGGGACTGAGGTAAGAAACTGTATGATTATGGTACCTCTAGATGGCCGGAAATAGCACTCTCAGACTTAATATAATTTTCTTTTTCTTGGGGTCAAAGGTCACAATGGTTATCTCTTAAAAAATGACTGGGTTCATGTTCTGTTGAAAATAGTATCTCTAGTTATTATTACCATTAGTATTACCATTATTATAATAATATCAATAATTTTAATAATTATAATAACTATTATAATTATTATAATAATAATTATTATTATCATAATTATTAGGCCTATTATTGTTGTTGTTGCTGTTTTTGTTAGTGTTATTATTTTATCACCATCCTTACCGAAACCATCATAGTCTTCCTATGTAATAGCCACTTACCGTCCATCCACCGTCATCTGTTTCCATATCACAGTATACAGGCCGCGAGTTGTTCTCACCTTTCGGATAGATAATGTAAATTCCGCTGTGAAAACCCACGCCTATCTTCAGCAAGTCACTACAATCTCTCGGCTGAAATTATATAACATTACCAATAATTATAATCCTTGTCCCACGCATGCACGAAACGACCATAATGCAGGAGTCTCATGACTATTACATTCTTTATTGGTTTAATACAAAAAAAAAATAAATACATTAACACATTTCGATTGCCGATATTTGCCACATACCGCTACGGTCTTTATTGCATATAAAAAAATTAGGGAGAGTTCCCTCAATAAATATAACTATAAAAAAAAAAAAAAGCCCCCCGTAAATTTTAGGATTAGAGGATTATGAAGCTTTCTCATTATTAAGCCACATATTGAAATTGGTAGTAGTACATGCTGTTTTCAAGTCGTGTCAAGCAATGATGTGCTATAGAGAATAGATATGTATATATATATTATATAATAAAATGTATATATATGTATATATATTATATATATAAACATATCCATAATAGCACCTCAGGTTAAACACATGTCAAGTTTCCATGCAAAGTATATGATGTGTAAAGTCTGTAATAAATAACCATTCCTTGCCTTACTTTAACATATTCTGGAATCTTGGGTACTTTAGAGGCAAATAAGCCTAATTGGTTAATTATGATGTAAGGCATGTGCGTCGATCGGTGGGGGACAGGGGGACACGTCCCCCACTTTTCAAAGTAGGGGGACATCATTTCGATTGTTCCCCCCCCCCCCACTTTTCACAAATCTTCTATAATTAAAACCCCTCTTTAAAATCGAATGGAAAGAATAACAATTACGCATGACTCGTGAATTTTGTTTGTTCAGTTTTCCAAGTGTGGTACGTATTTTGCGGACCAAAATCGAGTAAAAACGCAATTGTTTATACATTTTGTAACCATCTCAGAAACCACTAGATCGATTTTATGGGTGCAGCGTTTATCAGAGGTTAAAATTATTGTGAAAACAATGTACTGAACGTTGTTAAAATTGGAAGCGTGTATGCTTATTAGGCCAATATTTTTACAAACTCAAAAGTGCACAATTTCTACTATAAAGATTTATTCCTTTTGTATATTATTATGACCCGTACGTATATACTAGTGTTTAATATTATCTACATACATATAGGATTACTGTTTTACCTGATTTCAAAAAAATATAGTTAGTCAATTGAATTTTATATCGCCATTATTAAATAATAATTAAACAGACTTTGGTGAGTCGAATGGCCAAGCGGTTTGCAGGGGCGCCGCAAGCTATAGCCATAATATCGGCACTGGTTCGAACGGCACGCTCGCCTATGGTTCTGGTGGTAGAACAAGTCTTCTCGGATAAGGACTATAAACCGTAGGCCCAGTGTATACAATGGTTCGTGTGCACTATAAAGAACCCAGTATAATCCTTCGAGACGAGTAGGGGGATACTCCGGTGTACTGGAACAGACAGGCCCTGTGGTGGACGACGAGAGTTGCTGGTACCGGGTAACCGGGTAGCACAGACACGAAGGGACACTCAAGCCTGGTTTCCTGTCGACGTAAGAAGGCAGATTTACTTACGATTACGTCGTTTTATCGTAAGAAAATGCGATTTGACAGGAAACCGATTACGACTGGTGCGTTGTGAAATCGACGTAACGTAAACTAAAATCGTCGCAAAACAGTTTTGGACAGGAAACCGACGTATTGAATTTTCATGTGATACGTCGATTTTCCCCTATTTGACAGGAAACCGCGATTTAGTGACTTTTTGTTGAATGAACTCGCATACGTTGCGTTGCAAATGATTCTTATGAAAAGTTGACTTGGAAACGTAAGCGGAAACGTATGCTGTCTGTATATCTTG